GTGAGTCGCAATACTTTGCATTCTGCTGAGTTGTGGAATCCGGACTGTACTGTTTAACTTGACAGCACTCTTGATTCTCGGAGAATCCGAGAGTGTACATGGGGAAACTGAGGCCGAAGCTGGGCACGACTGCAGATTCGGGAGCACTTCTGCTGTAATTCTGCGAGATTCTGGTCAGATTCTCGTACAATTAGAAAGTATACAGGTATCATTGCACATTTAGATCCTCTCTAGGGGTTGGGAGATTCTCGTGCAATTCTGCCGTAATTCGGCGATATTCTGGTCCAATGCTTGTCCCACTCTCGTAGAATCAGGAAGTATACACACATCACACATTGAGAACCTCTCGACGACCTGGCAGATTGTGTTGCAATTCTGCCAGATACTGGTCCAGTTCTGGTCGGATTCTCATAGAATAAGAGAATATATAGCTTCCAGGACAGAGTTTGATGCTCTTTACGAACTGGAAGATTCTGCTGTAATTCTGCTAGATACTGGTCCATTTCTGGTCAGACTCCCGTGGAATGACCAAGTATACAGACATCAGTACACATTCACATATTCTGGTAGTATTAGAAGTACATAGACGTCCGTACAAATTAGGAACCTCTCTATGAACTGGCATATTCTCGCGCAATTCTGGTGTAATTCTGCCAGATTGCGGTCCATCTCTGGTTAGATTCTGGTAGAATCGGAAGTATACATACATCAGTACAAATTTAGATCCTCTCTACGAACCGACTGTCAAACTGTTTTGCCACCATCTGAGTGTGAAACAGAATATAGTTGACTTCTGGTAAAATTGCAGCAGATTCTGCCAGAATCACAGCAGAATTGAGCAGAATCTGCCAATTCGTAGAGGGTATCTAGGTCTGAAAGAGAGTATGGTGGATTCGGAGTGAGTGCTGGTAGAATTGTGCGAGATTCTTTCAGATGCACTGCGGAATTGAGCAGAATCTGCGGGATCTTAGAGATTGTGTCAGTGGCAGGTTGTTGATTTTGAATTCTGCTGGAGTTCTGGAATTTCCACGGAACTGTGGAAGTTGACACCACTCCATATTTCAAGGGTAAGAATGACAGGTGGTGAAAAAGTAATGAAGTTTTAATTCACACGAGGAGACTCGAACCACAGTCGGTCGCTGACAAATCGACGAAAGATCGCGGTCTGCATCTATCTTTGTTTAGCCGTGAATCGAATTTCATGGAAGCCCTTAGATTGGTACCGATGTTAATCATAACATTAGACGGATTATAGATGAAACCTAGTCTCAGTTTTCTGGCAACCTTGTTACAAACTTTATTAAAGAGGAAGATACTTGAGAACAAATTCGAGACATTTATACTATTAGAGTCTTCAATTATCTACACAGTGAAAAAAAAACCGTAAGAAAAACCGTAAAATCCATAACCATCAAAAGAAAACCGTGTAGAAGAACCAGGAAGTAAAAAACCACATTATAAAAACCGTAAAATGCAAAAGTATAAAAGAAAAACTGGAAGTAAAACTGTAAAGGTTAAAACCATAGAAACAAAATCATCCAGTTTCGAACCATCGAAAGAAAACCTAAAATTAAACCGTCAGTTTACGAACTGTGAAATTAAAACCAAGGAAAAATATCGCAAAGCTCAAAACTGTAGAAATAAAGTCATGAACTGACAGTTTGTCAAAGGAAAACAATGAAAATAAAAGCATGAAGAGGAAAACCGTGAAAGAGTTTTCATGCTTTTTAGTTGACGGTTTTATCGAAGCTTCAAAACTCATTAAAACATGTGCAGTTTCAGTCGTCAGCACGTCAAAAAGTCTTACTAATCAGCTAACATAAGTTTAATAGAGCGCGTCTTGGGCTTTTCGACAAATCTATCTCACACTCAGGATTATTCAATAAAGCATTAGCCGGGTAGATAAGAGAGTAAAACTGACACTTGGGACAGGGTGAGGGGAAATACGACTTCCAGCGCATGTTTCTGCAAAACATGCCGGTTTTGTGAACTTTCTCGTTTTACAAAGTTTTTTTCTTTGAAGCTGCGACCATCTTCAAATCGTTCTGATGTTGATAGTCTTGGAAAGTAGAGGGGAAGGATATAGTGAGTCTTCCCCTAAAATGCTAATTATAAGTTTCTAGACGTTCGTCATAGGATACACTGGATGGTATCATATGATATCTGTGCACACATATACAGCTAGCGTTTCTCTTTTATATCTCAAATGCGTCTACGACAGCGAGGAGCTTTACAAATTCAACAGCGATAGCTTTTGGTAACGTGCTGAAGTTTTTACAAAAGTCTATCCTAGAACATGATGAGTATGCAGTGCGAAGACATACTTCTGTAGGTTTCTCAGTTCAGTGGTGTGTGCCTTGGTTTCATAATTCGCCGGTAGAGCGGCGAAATCGGTATTAGACTGATGACAGTCTTGGTACAGTGCTAGCAGCGACTTATAAGACACTCGTTAGAAAGGACGAAAACGCTAACTTTTTTGTGTTTTTCTTTGTGTATTTTTTTGTTTTTCATCCTACACCGGAAACGGTATGGGTCTATATTACTACTACTGTTTAAAATAATAAGTTGAAATGCACGCTCTTTATTCCTCGTCTGATATTGTTCTTTTTCTCCTTAAAAGAAATAACAGTGAGATAAAAGGTGAAGTTATTTGCTTTGACTATATCGTTATTTCCATCAGCCAAGAAACAGTGAAGTATTTTTTACATGTGACACGACACACTTTTGGATTCTTTCTGAATATAAATAATTTTCATCTTAAAATACCTTTTAACTAACATTTTTGTCTTTTCCCCGTAACTGACAGAACCAGGTATGCCTACTTATTAATTCAGTAATAGTAACGCAACTAAGACTATTGTTTTGACTAGGGATGCACCGGTATCGGTATACCGAAAATATCGACCTTTTTTTACTAGGACTTTTTTGAATTTTTCCATTTGAAATGAGATATTTTAGGGTCCTGGACAGGCAGAACACATAAAAAACACTCACCTGTGTATTCTGAGCATATGCAGATAGAAAAGAAAGCTTTTGTTTTAAAAAGCAAGCACAGCTGTTGTTTTGCGTCCCTGGACACTAAAATATCTCATTTCAAATGGAAACATCCAAAAAAGTCGGTATTTTCGGTATCGGTATTTTGGTATGGTTACCGATACCGGTGCATGCCTAGTTTTGACTACACATGTTTTCCTTGTAAACGGTCATTCTACAACGAGTATTTGCTAAGCAGATATTCAAAAAGGCTCTATAATTTCTTCTATAAAGCAAATGAACGAGACATTTTTCACCATTTTAAATGATGTTTTTCCCAAACTTCCTGTGTTCATTTAGATCCTGTTCATATTTTAATGGCAACGGTTCAACAACTAACACGTTCTCGTTATACGGATATTTGTGGTGAACCGGTCGACAAACTATTAGTACCAGTCAAAGGTTATCAAAATGAACTGTTGTTACCATTAGAAGAAGCTGTTGTACAAATTTCTGATTTGTTCGAAGATTTACAAGAATATGTTTACATAGCGAAACAAAATTGTAAGAAACCATCGAACGGTTTAACGCAAGACGAATCAGCTGCTATTCAATTGTATACCATGCAATTTTCAAGTGGCCCAAGTTTTTATGAACTATTCAATCAAACATTACGATCAGAAAATCGTGAACTTTTAAAACCGTGGTTTCGTTATTTAAAACTATTTTTAACAGCACTGTACAAATTGCGATCTGAACCGCAGCAAACAGTATGGCGTGGTGTGAAAGGTGTTGACTTAAGTGGGAAATATTCGGCGGGGGTTCAGTTTGCATGGGGGGAGTTTCATCGTGTACGATAAATGTGGATGTTTTAAATGCTGGTAACTTTTTAGGAAAACATGGCGTAAGAACATTGCATATGCATTGTGTAGCAAATGATTAATCACGTCTGATACGGAAAGAAAATCTGTTGTGGTGGAGGAATTGAAAGAGGTTGTAAATGAGAATTTGGTTTCAACGTTCGAAATTTCCCTAATTTTAAACGAGACAAAGCGTCAGCAGCTTGATTTTTGGCACCAGGTATATGTTCTGCATAAGCAACAAAGTTACATTCGCAGGCGTAAAGCGTAAATCGTCTCATGAGAGTCATTATTTGTGGATCTTTATATATACCGTTTTGTATCTCTGCTACAACTGTCTCATTGTCTGATCGAAACAGAATCTTTTTCCCTCGCCAACCTCGGCTCCACAGTGATGCCGTTACACGGCACTGATTCATAGTATGCTATAGACAATCCTTTAGGTACAAAATCAGGCCATGAAGAGGCAAACCATTCATCTTTTCAATATCCACCAAAACCAGTTGATGCAGAGGCATGCGTGAATAGTTCCATGTCACAGGCTTTAACAACTTTGGGATCGAAGAACGTTGACACACCATTCCAAGATCTCAGGAAATAATGCCACAAGGAAAGATCAAGTCTACATGCTTTGGAAAGTGACACCGCATAATGTAAGGGACCAACTGTACATGATAAACTAATAAGATATGAGATAAAACTTCTACCAGCTGGAATAACACGAGACGCATGTCCAAGATAACCAATAACACTCAATAAGTCATGCTTACTGCAGCGCTTCTTGTTCAAGTATTTTGAAACCGTTTGTAAAACTCTAACATGCTTATCCTCGGGAAGACGAGCAATCATCAACTGACTATCAATTACAATGCCTAAGTGTTCCGGCACTAATGTAGGCCCAACAGTTTTTGTAGGTGACAAAGGTACGCTCAACTTTTTAAAGACTAATTTTAACAAAACCTTGTTAGGATCAGCATCATCCGGAGGATAGAATGCAATAAAATCGTCCAACAAGTGCAAAATATATTTAATGCCATAATTTTCTCGGACCATCCAACTTATTGTGGAAGAAAATAAATCAAAAATTTTCGGACTTGACCGACATCCGAAGACTAAAAGTGTGTAGAAAAAGTATTGATTTTTCCAAGAGATTCCTAAATAATGCCATAAAGCTGGTTCCACTGGAATAATCTTAAACGCATCGACAATATCTGTCTTCGTCATGGATGTATTAGCACCGAGCTTATTAACGATTTGCAGTGTATCATTTAACTTGGTATAAGTTAAAGAAAATTCCTCTTTATCTATGAGCAAAATAATACTCGGATGTAAGGGATGGTCATATGGTGCACTAACGTAAGATCAACTATTAAACGTGGCTTTGAACTGTATTTTCCATATGCAGCACCTAGAGACGAAATTCGATAGTAAAACTATAGAGATAATAACACCAGCTATTTTTAATTCCATTATTCAATTTTTTATTAAAATTCGACGTTTCGAAAATACAATTTTCATTTTCAAGAAAACAATAGATCACAAGACTATAATGTAACGTTAGGGTCAAAAATATAAGTTCTACCGATATATACATGTGTTTATATATAAAATTCTAGAGAGTGAAAGAAATGAAAGAAAAGAATATTGTGTGAAAATAGACAAGTTATAACGTTGAAACAGACGAGTATG